GAGGTGGTGTAGTGACAAGTGGCGCGCTTACCACTCGCGCGGTCCTGGGTTCAGGTCGACTCCCGCCCAGGCCAACCAAGCCTTCTACCCTCCGGGGACGGTAAATTGGTACCAGATTCGTCTGGGAGGATAAAACACTGACTTGTACATCGGCTGGCCACCGCAAGTCATTGTATAGGCCACATCGCATTCAATAAGCCACTACGATTCTGAATGGAAGTAGAATGCGTGCCGCATCCCACAAAGGGATTGATCAACGGCGAAGACTTTATCCTTTATCCAATAGTGCGTTCATACTTCGCAATCGTGCCACTGGACCAGGCGATTCAATCGCGCGATTGGACCGGGCGATTCAATCGTGCGATATGATTGCTCGATTGAACCGTGCGATCAGATCGCTTGACTGAAGCGCGCAATTCTACCACTCAGGCGGATTGCGGTTGGATCGCGCGATCCATTTGCGTGATCGCGAAGTTTGAATGCGCTGTAACGATCAGATCAAAAGAAGCTTGATTGTGTTTCAAATTTATCAACGCGTTGACGGCAATAGCGTTTTGCGGGAAAGACCAACAGCGTGTTTCGCATGCGTCCGCTTTGAGCCACCGGTGGCTCATATTGTCCCTCGTGGACCACTTTTTTGCCGCTATGTCAAATTTCGCAAAATGATTAGTCAATCGTGCAGGGACTGCTATTTCAACCATCCTTGACCCTATTGGATGCCATCTCATGCCCCGCCCTCTGCGATCACGCCCACTTTTTAGCGCGATCGTGATTTCCAAAATGTGTGCCATAACTTCTGTTTCTAAGAATTTTCTTGGAATTTTCTGCTTTTCACACATTACAGTGATTCATAGACGGCCACACCGACACATAGCCGGCCACGCATCAGATAACCTAGGTGTAGAGGTTTCTATCGAATTCGGTGTCAAAAAGATTGCTGGCGCCAAAGTGGCGCCCGCTGGCGCCAGGTGGCGCCAACACTGGAAGGCAACGATATTCGTGACAAGGATGTCAAATAACCTAGCTATGGAGGTTTCTATCGCATTCGGTGCCAAAAAGACTGCTAGCGCCGAAATGGCGCCTACTGGCGCCATATGGCGCCAACGACAAATAAGATCTGGCGCCATATGGCGCCAACGATAAACAAGATCTCACGTTCATGATCAAAGCCCCGCGCAGTCCCTGCAGCCAAGGTTCCGTCCAAAAAGAACTGTTTTGGAGGTTTCTGCCGCAGCAGTAGCTAGTTGAAAATTTCAATTTTTAATTCAAAATATCCCATGGAGGCAGCAACATTTTTCTTGCTCATCCCTGTTGGACATTCACCTTTCACAGGTTATTCGAAAGCAAGAAAAAGATCGATTGAGACTGCCGGCAATAACCCGAAAAGTGATGGAGAAAGTTATGAGCCACCGGTGGCTCAAATTGTCCCACGTGGCCACTCACTTATGAGCCACCGGTGGCTCAGAATGTCGTCAACGTGTTAAGAATGCCGAACGCTTTTTGAGCAGAAATATTTTTCCAAGAAACGACGTGATCCAATGTTGGTGACAGCCGCATAGTATCTCTTGAGATTCCAACCCATCCAGGACAAAAAGGATTCCTAGTAATGAAAGAGAGTGAAGGTTTCTGAGATCGCGGGGTTCGAGGTGTGTATGCAACTAGTACATATGTAACTACGCCAGAGAGAATATGAAAACCTGGATAATAGGTTCTTCAATGACTAGCCACGCCAAAAGCTTCCAAAGTTTTTCTGCAAACACGTACCTGAGAAAAGCAGGGTTGGCGAACTGTATGATATCGGAGAGAAACTTAATGACACTTCCACCAATCAGCTCCCATTTGAACAATTTCCATAGAACTAGGATGATCGAAGGCAACCTAACACCTGAAATTGGATGATGTTCCTATCGCCTTCGAAGGAAAAACCCGCAACCACAGATTGAGGGCAACGGGAGCTCACGCACGAACGAAAAATTACTAGGTGACTAAAAAATGTGATTAAAATTAATTGATTAAGGTGATTAAAATTTAGGTGACTGATCAATGGGAAAAAGCAGCAGAAAAAGTCCGAAATGCCCCAAATAGGTGTCCATGCCGACCTTACGTGCATGCAATGAAGAAAACATATTTCTACGAATTTCCACTCGTCTTTCATGACGATGTAAGCTCTTTTATCTATCACCTTCACTCTCACCATTCGGAATGGAGGGATATACGGGGGGAGGGCAAAAAAAGACTTTTTTCTTCCTCGACTTTCGAGGCGCTATAAGTTACACTTTATTAAATTCTTCATTTCTACCACCATATTAAAGAGCATATTAAATACTATCATGATACTCCGCCACAGCCTTCTGGAGGAGCGCCATCGAGAGATTCTGCCACGCGACCGTCAGTGGGTGCGTGAGTTCAGCGAGATCGTTGATTTCTCCGCCACTGTAGACCACCCTATTGAACTCCGCCCGAACCAGGTAATTGAGGGGTTTAGGTCAGGTTACCTGCTTAGATATTCCACCTTCTTCAGGTACTCAACGCCCTTCCATTCCAAGTAGGCAAGAGTTTTCCCAACGCCCTTTGATTCCATGTGGTGTCACCCAATCCTGTAGCAGTACAAAGTTTCCAAGAAGGTACGGGCGACGACATGTGGAGAGGATATTCTTCTCGAGTTGCTCGATGTAACCGCCAGCGCTCACCTTCAGTCCGGGGCCCACGAATGGACTTTGGCAGGTCTCAGGGATATTCGACCGAGTCACATATCAGCAAAGTTTTCGCAGCCCAGACAGAGGACGTGGATACGAGTACCAGGGCGGAAGATACCCAAGATGTTCCTCTATAAGCAGGAGCTGGCGCTCGCCCATCACCTTCATGTACACCAAAATATGAAGTCATCTCCAGTCGCAACTGACTGGAGAAGACCTTTGGAATTCATGTCACCTCCGAACAGCTGCGAAACTTCTCGTGTGGAGTATCCATGGATACCTACCTGGAGAGCAGTACTCTCGATCTGGAAGACCTCCATCATCGAGCAGCTCCGTCAACGTCGCTACGGTCTAGGACATCATCTTCACCCAGTCGCCAAGGCGCCAGTTGATGGTGGGGACCGGACGTACCTGGAATGGAGAGACCGATATTTTCTTCGTGGGCCCCGGACTTAAAGGCAGCGTCCGCGATCAACCAAAGTGAAAAAAACCCTCCACTGAAAACG